ATTCTATGCCTGAATCTGTATCTTTAAACTCCACCAAGTGCATGGCCTGAAACATTTGCTGGGCTAATTTCCACTTTGCATGGATGTCGATGGTGAATTTAGGAAGGGTGATGAGGTGATTCCTCAGCTTTAGTCTATGTGGCTCAAATAACCACATGGGTGATAGCAGAGCAGGACCAGCTTCAGTACCGGCTAGTAACGTGAGCAGCCYGGCCGTGGTCTTGGCAAGCTGAGCCTCTGCACCAGGAGGGACACTGGAGTGAGCTGGGTTAATGCCAAAATGGGTTTATTTAGCACCCTGCAATTACACCTTGCAATAATGCTATTTGGGTCACCACAAGGGTCTTGAGGTATTTGAATAGTGCCCTGATTTCCAAGTGCTTCAATGTCACTTTGAGAGAAAGCATATTATAAAATTTCCAGCACAATATACGATTGCTACAGATTTTATTGTTAAGAGGAATGAAGCTATTACCAGTTAATATAGATAAACAGGCAGCATGACTTTATAAAGGCATTATSCCTTACAGATATAATACATGCCTGGAAGACTGCGTCCTTTCCACGCACTCCTGATGATAATATGATGTTACGTCTTTTTCGAAGCTCCTGGAGCTTTGAGAACCCATCTGAATTTATCAGTAACTGTCGTTACGGATACATCTTGTACCAAGGAGATACATTATGTGGAAATCTGCTCGCTTGCTCTTCTTTCTCTTTTAAATCTTTCACAGGGGATATTGCTCATTTTAAGGGTAATTCTCCCTACCTCTGCATAAATGCACCCTATTGGAGAGGGGTATAGAGCGTGTAGGGGAAACTATCTGCAAAATGTGCTCTGAAATCATTAATGTTTCTGAATATATATTTGGTGGTGGAAACCTTCCCTTTCTTCAGTGTCTGCTCTAACACTCTGATTCCTGCATGCAAGAAACTGCATCAAACATCAGTATTTCATGAGTGTCAGGCTTGAGTTAGCCCAGAACCTTGGACTTTCCACTTGAAGAGCATCCTTTTCTCTAGCTCAGACAGGACTTTAAGTACCTTTTAGTTTTTATTTGGGGTCAAAAGAGCCTGTATCTTTTCTCAGCATGTGTCTCCCCATTGCCCAGAAGCAGTGCTTCTACTCTGGAGACTGGAATTAAGTGTTTCACAGCTAAAACACATACAAAGAAGATAAGGAATAGCCTGGCTGGGAGTGGACCACAATGGAAAAGCTTTGAGGAACATGGGCATTAATGAAGATGGAGACCAAAAAAGAGCTATAGTGACTTGGTTAATCCTATGTGCTCTGACAGAGTTGAACTTCTCCAGGTCTCTGATAAGATTTGACAGTTTTTTATCTATTGTTTTTCCAATGTTCAAGGCTACTGAAAGGCAAAAGTGCCAGATGGCCATGTAAGCTAAACAACGTACAAAATCTTTCTTATATTATCGCTAAGCGTCCTGGAGAGAGGGGAGGGAGAGAGGTTATTTAATCATTAGAAGTCACTTAGCAGCAGATGACATTTAGCTGTCTTTATCAACTTAAAACAAAAGATTTGGGCTGTACCGTTGTGGGGCCTTTATCTAATATTGCAAGACACATATTTGCCTTTAGGTCAGCTGGTGATATCTTGTCCTTGTGCGTAGCAGTCACAGAACTGGGATCCCAACCTAGTAAAGAAAAATATATATATATATATACACAATATATACACCACATATRTAACTTTCTACATGTACCAAACTTCACTGCAATCTTAAACCAACACGTGTGTGCCATTTTTCCCCTTGAACACGACAACCTCCTGGGTCACTGACAGTAAAATCTCATGTCTGGAGGAGCCAACACGGGAGCAATGAGGGCCCAGGTTCTGGTTTCAGCCCTGGTCTGATATGTGGCCTTTGTCAAGCYGTGTCCCCTTGTGTCCCCTCCTGTCCCCTCTTTGCCATGGCCACGGCCAAGAGGGACTCTGGAGCCTTGGGGAATTGCTCAAGGGCCTYGGGAGCTGCCGCGTTGACGCCAGCCCGGGTTCCTTGGTCCCACATTGCGGCATGRGGGCCGCGCTGACGCAGTCCCGGTGCCGTTTAGTCCCCGGAGGGTCTGGATACAGCCCGTGGAGCTCGGGACGGACGGTACCGGTTGTCCCCACAGCTCTCCCGCCTGTCACGGGATCTGTTTGCTGTGGAGAGCCCTGGGGTCACCCCGGGGTGCCCCCCATCCACCTCCCGGTGCCTCCAACCCTCTCCTGGGGACAGGCAAGGCCCCAAGGTGCCGGGGCGGGGGGCGACCCAAGGGCCGCGGGCACCACCGGGCCCCGGCGCCACCCTCGTCCCGCGGCGGGGCCGGGGGGTCGTCGCCAAACGCGGCTC